TTTTTTGTACAATGCAAGAGCTAAGAATGTTTTGGGGGTTTTATTTTTGTTTTTTTTTTTACATTTTAAAATGCAATCAAACTTTATTATAAATGTAAAAAAAACATTCTTAGCTCAAGTTATTCAACAACAGGCAACGAACTGGATTTGGTACGTGAGCCATAGTTTGCTGAACACTATTTTACGTTATAAGTAAAGTTCTTTCTTTCCTAAACATTTTATGATTCTAGTAGATTATAACCTCTCTAAGGATAGGACTACATTTTCTTCATCTTTGCATCTGTCATACGTAGCGCAGTGCCTTGCACTAGCTGTTTAATGAATGTTAGTTGTTTATCTAAATTGAATCCTAAGTCCCAACTAACTATAAGCTAGGACCTCTGCCCATCATTGGGGGGTATACAAATGAGAATGAGATATGGTCCCCACTCCAACGTTCATCCCTTAATGATGAGGGCTATGGCAGAATAAATCTGTACACATTACAATAATACAAAACAATATAATATGAGTTCAAAAAATCAGGACAAGGTATTATTAAAGTTAGGAGGTAGGAGAGAACAATTCTGGTATGTTATGTTCAGGAAAGGTTTCCTGGAGGCAGTGGCGCTTAAGCTGGTTTTGAATACTACTAAATGACAGAATGCCAACAAGCAGAGATTAGAGAAGGAGGAATTTCAGGTACAGTCAATGATGTGAACAGAGGTGCAGCGGAAGAGAGTCACGAGGCCTGTTTCTAACAATGAATGGTACAGAGGTAACTATGAATCACCAAACATTTTTAGTAAAAATCATAGTGCTTTGCAACTTCCCACCAAGGTAATTGATGTCCACTTTCTTTTAAAAATAGAAAAAAAAATCACATTATAAAATTCTTAAAGCACCACAGTTAAAATCCAAACTCCTTAGTCCTATGGTCAGGAAGAAGTAGATAGTAGAGAATCACAGAATCTTCATGCCAGAAAGGACTTTAGAGGCCATTGAATTCAAACAGCTCCTAGACAGGAATTTCCTCTGTGACTGCTCCAACAAACAATAATCCAGTTGATGCTTGAAGACCTTCAGAGAGGATGAAGCCACCGCCTCCCAAGGCAGCTCATTCCATTTCTTTGGCAGCTCTGATTTTTTGATCATTTTTCCTTGTATCAAGCCTCTCTGAAGCTTCTGCACATCACCCTGAGTCCTGCCCTGTGGGGCCAAGCAGACCAAGTCTATTGAATCCCTCTTTCCCATGACAGCTTTTCAAAGACTTGAAAAGTATTACTGCCCTCAAGTCTTCTTTTCTCTACACTTCAACATCTGTAGCTCTTTTCAATTGCTCTTCCAATTCATCATCCTGGCCACTTCCCCTACTCCCAACCCCTCCTCCCCCACAACACACATACCTTGCTGGCAAGTTAGTTAAGTGCAACTTGTCAACATTCTTCCTAAAAAAACCAGAAACATCTTCATTACCATATTTCATGACACCCATACATGAATCCTCCATCCTTGTCAAACTGGAGTTCATTTGCTCATTCATTCATTCATCCATCCATCCAACATTAAACCCAGAGAGTCATAGTAGTTGAACCCAGAGAGTCATAGAGTAGTAGAGAGGAATGAGTTTGAATCAGAGTTACTGAATTATAGATTTTAAGGCAAGAATATGGAGGTAATCTCGTTTGACCATTTCACTTTATAGATGATCTTAGTATCATAGATTTAAAGCTAAAATGGGATATTAAGTCCAACCCCTTTGTTTTATGATGAGGAAACTGAGGCACAGAACATTAAATGACTTGTCCTGGATTGTATGGTGAGTGTCTGGGCTGAAATTTAAAACCCGGTCTTCCTCATTTCAAATACAGCACACTTGTTGCCTCCTGATGAAACAGACTTGGAGGTGGGAGGTGATTTGCCCAAGACTATGCATCTATCAAGCAGCAGAGTTAAGAATGAAGTTCTCTGACTCCAAATCTCTGGCATAGAGCATGCTTCAGTGGATGCTTCCTCATCCAAAGTCACAGACCAAGTTGGGGGAGGGGAGATGCTCAGATCTAGAACTTAAACTTGGGTCTTCTCCTTCTACGTCTGTGCTCTTTCCCCTTGGCGATGAAGCCTTTGGCAATGCAAAGATTCTTGAGAGCAGGAATGGTTTCATTATTTGAATTTCTATATCCAGCACCTAGCATAGTGCCTGGCACGGATTGACTATCTGGACAATAAGGAATTGGGAGTGTGTGGGTGGGATGGGGGAGATTCCCCCAGGAATTATGTACTCACACCATCAGATGACATGAAGTCACTGGCATCCCAGACAAGAGCAGCAGGGGTGGGGAGGTGGGGGGAGGGAAGGATGTCCAAAACATTGGACAGGGGCTTCTGTCACTGTTTATTGTTATTGCCAGTTTGGCTCTAGAAGAGTGCTGCGTCTCACTGACCTTTTCCATGTACTGTGCAGTAAGTATCAAGTGCAACTTTTCACTAACATGAGGGCAAATTTCATTTTCTTCCTGCAGACGGGACCCATTATTCAGTCGGTTCCAATTCCTCAGCTCAGTGGCATTGGCCTTCCTGGCTGTTGCTTAAGGCTGCCTGGGAGCATTCTCTCTTTCCCAAAGCAGAGTAAATCTAAGCTTTTTAGAGGGTAGGGTAGGGGAGGTTTGGGAGAGCAGAGGAAGAGTGGTGACAAAAAGATTCAGACGCCATGGCCCAGTCCCAGGAGGGCAGATAGAGTTGGGAAAGGAAGAAAACATTTATTACCTAACTACTATGTGCCCTGGCACTGTGCTAAACACTTTCAAATATTATGTCATTTAATCTCCAAAACAACCTTGAGAGGTGCAATTATCATCCCCATTTTACAGTTAAGGTAACAGAGGTAGACAGAGGTTAAGTTACTTGCTAGTCACAGAGTTGGCAGGTATCAGAGACAGGATTTGAACTCAAATCTTCCTGACTCCAGGTTTGGCACTCTCTCTACTAGGCCACCTACTTGCCTCTAGGGACCTAAATGATCACTGAGACCCCTTCCAACTTTGGAAAGCTATGATTCTCCTAGCCGAATTTGCAGTACACCCTTTCCACTTGCTTTATTACCTAAACTTCTGACACTGTGTCTGACACACCAGCTTACACTTTGGCTCTGATTTTCTCAAACCCTGATAGGCCTTCTTAGTTTGAGACCCTTGGTTGCCTTGACCTCGAGTTTTTGTTTTTTGTTTTTTTCCACAAGATGGGATTAAAATCTGTTTTCTGGTTGCCTACTACAACTTCTGCTCCTTTGTCATTTCTCAGACAACATGACAGTCCTTAGCATTGTAATCATAATTTATTTATATCTTCAAAATTCTAACTGGGTGCTTTGGAAGCAGCCAATGAGAGGACCAAGCTAGATGCTCTCTAAGCTACCTTCTCACTCTAAATCCTATGAGCCTACAATCTTCAGGAAGTCAGTTTTAAAGCATATCCTTTCAATAATGCATTGGTGCTAATGGGAGCAAAGCAGCTGATGGGAAGTGTGAGGGGTTAGTATTTGGGATGCTACTTTAGAAAGAAGCATATTTAAAATATATATATATATACACACACACATATATTATATATATATAATATATATGTATATATATGTGTGTGTGTATGTATATATATATATATATATATATATATATATATATACACACACACATATATATGTAAAAGGAAGGAAACACAATCCTACTCCTTTCAAGTGCTTTCAGGAAATCCTAACTAGATTAACAACTGGGTTGTCCAGCATAAGTCTCTAGGGGATCTGCTTCACTGAGCACATGAACATGATTAGCAAATAGAATTCCTTTTTTGGGTTCGCAAATAGAACCTTTAAAATCACTTTAAAAGTATTTACTCATAAGTAGTTTAATAATTGTGCCTATAATCCTGTTTCCATTATTTGTTTCTTTATCAAACCCTTTCTTAATGGTAATGCAGAATGTAAAATCTAGTCCAAATCATCAGTTTCTTTATCTGTCCAATGTTTGAGTTTAATCTTTAAGGTGTCTTCCAAAGCTAACATTTATAGGTTCTTCAGATCATGCAGATTTATAGATGAAAGGGTGATAAAAGAGATAAGCTAGTCCAGGAGTTCTTTACCTTTTCTGTGTCCTGGCCCCTTTTGGCAGTCTCATAAAACCTATGGACTCCTCAAAATACTCTTTTTAAATGCTCAAATAAAATTCATAGGATTTCAAAGGAAATCAATTATATTGCAATACAATTGCCAAAATGTAAAAACAAACAAAAAGAAACCCCCCAAATTTATAGACCTTAAGAACCATAGATCTATTCCAGTTTCCTCATTTAACAGATGAGGAACCTGAGGCCTCAGGAGATTAAGTGATGGTCAAAAATTTGAACACGGGCTCTTAAGGTAATATGATATAAGGTAAATAAAACAAAACAAAACTACATCACCACCACCACCACTCCAATGGGATTGGAGTCAGAAGAACTGAGTTCAAGTCATCTCTGTGATACTTCCTATTATGTGACCATGGGCAAGTCACTCCTGAGCCTCAGTTTCCTCACTTGTGCAAAGGAAAGACTACATGCACAATGAGTCTCATTCTATTCTGAAGAAAGCACTTTACAAATCTTAAAACATGATAAAAAAAAACGAGCTAATAATATTCAAACTAAGGTGCCCTCTAGCTCTGACATCCTTTGTTCTTACATTCGGAGTTCTAAGGTCACTTCTAACTCTGACATTCCAAGTCCTGTGGCCTAACATTCTATTTTTTCTAAAGTCATTCACAGTTCTGATGTTCTATAATTCTAATCACACATTCTCAGTGAATGCCTTTGCATTAAGGAGGCTTTGATGGTTCAGAATCAATTAAGGCAGTTCCTTTTTTTATTGTGAATTGGAATCTCAAGTTTGGGTCACACGTAGAGAACACTTAACTACTCTTAGCTGAAAGGTGTTATGGGGGTTCAGGACACTGTGGCTGCTTTAAGTACTCACAGCTTTTGGCTCTTACCATCTGCGATGAAGTGCTCTGGCACATGGAGCGTCACCTTCACAGTCAAGGGGCAGGACAGCTGATTCCCACACACCATGGCCAGGATACAGGAGCTCACTGCAATCAATGTAAGGGCTGTCTTGTTCACAGGGCTTTTCAGCAGACCTGAAAATCATCAAATAATGATTCAGTCATATGCAGTGACTTACTAAGGCAGAAATGACAGGAGAGATATTTTGAGATTTTCTTTTTTATATTTAAAAAATGATGCAATGAATACTAGTGAGTCTTCCATACCTTTAAATACATGGGCATGTCAGTACTCATAGGATCTTTTGGCTTTGTTGTTTGTTTGCCAACAAAGCTGAACCCACAAAATAGGTTTATAATTTTGCTCTAGAAAGAGAAATATTTAATGGGCAATACCAGAGTATCAAAATATAGATTATAGTGTAATTAGAGTTCATTAATGAATTAATCTGTTATAAGTTGAACTACCAAGCACATGTTGCATGTACCATCAGGTATATTTTTAGCTCAACAATATGTAAATATTTTGAGATTTTCAATAACGAAAGTTGAAACAACTTAGAAGAAATCATGGGTCTCCAGTTTAACTCGCCATAATCTCATTGGATTTAGAGTTAGAAGGGACATTAAAGATCAAAGCCTCCCATTTTACAGAGAAGGAAACTGAGACCCAGAAAGAAGTAACTTAATCAAGGTCACAGAGAGAAAACAGAAGAGCTAGGATTCAAACCCAGATCTTTTGACTCTAATTCAAGGGCCCTTTTTACTTCTAATTGCCAATTTCTCAACTGTTCCAATGAAATGGGTTTTATTATGTCAATAGCCAACAAGGAGGTGACCGCTATGTTCCAAGAACTGGTACTTCCATCATGTAGTCACATAAGCCTAGAGTTCCAACTGCTTCTGTGTAGAATGAATATCCCCACTCCCGTCTTCCTTTTAGATAGGCTTTTATCAGGAGTAAGAAGAGATGTTCTGGGTGAATGGGATATTGAACTCCATTAGTGTCTACATCAGGTACAAATGGATGTCATTCTGCAACATCACAAGATGCATTTGGCTCTGACTTACCTTCTTGAGAGCACTTTCTGCAATCCTGGAAAGATTATCTAAAGTTTGAAGTTCTGTTTTTCCTTTTAATCTTTTCTCTATGACATAGTGGCTTTATCGAGACATCTATTTTAGCTTCATGGAACAGAATCAATTCAATAGACATTCATTAAGCACCTACTATTTGGAAGGCCCTGTGCTCTGTGCTGTGGGAAATTTAAATATGAATAGGACATAGTCCCTTCCCTCAAGGAGGTTAAATTGGCTATTGGGGCAGGGGAAGCATATTTACATAAATAACAGTATAATTAAATAATAATAATACCTAACATTTATATAGCACTTACTATGTGCCAGGCACTGTGCTAAGTACTTTACAATTATCATCTTATTTCATCCTTACAACAACACCAGAAGGGAGGTGTTACTAATTAAATATTGTAAGTGTATGAGAGAAGTACAAAGTGCTGGGAGATTCCTCCCCACTTCCAGCAATAAAAATAAAGCAAAACTTCTTAGAGAAAGTGGAATTTGAACTGGGTCTTGAAGCATGTGTAGAATTTTAACAGGTAGATATGAGCATTGAAGGGCCTTCCAGGTGTACAGGATAGTAGGGCCTAAAGAAAGAGGAACAAAAAAGGCAATGGAGTACTTGGGGAATGGAATGAACACTCTTTTGATTTACTGAAAAGCAGACTTCTGGCATTGGGGTACAGTAAAATTGACATTAGATCAGAGATCAGGAAACCTGGGTTCAATTTCCAGCTTTGTCACAAACAAGTTGTATGACTTTTGGCAAAACAATTCACTTTGTTAGATCTTGATGCCCTCAGGTTTAAAATAAGAAGGTAGAGTGGAGTAGGGAAGATGATTTCTTAGAGAACATAAACCTTAAGAATTATGGATCAGAATCTCCATTTTGGGACAAAACTTAAGATATATATGAAAACACAAGCTGAAGAGCAATTTTGAAATACTTTTGTTAGAGTCATCCCATATTTTAAAATTGCAAAATAAAATAGTCCCATGTTAAATACATTGTCATGAGAGTCCCCTATCTGAAATGAATAGAAAGGGGACTTGTCTGCATCCAGACTGATGACATCCCTCTCCCAGAGAGCCCAGAATTGTAGGATCATGGAATGTCAGAGCTGAGAGACCATAAGGGATAATCTTTTCAACTTCCTCATTTCACAAGGAAGGAAACTGAGTCCCATGGATGTGAAATGACTCCCCCCAACAGTATCCCCCACCCCAATATTGCACAAGCTAGGATTCAAATCCATATCTTTTAATTCTCATCTCTACACCCCAGTTCTCCCAAACTTCCAACTTCTGGTAGATACAATGTAGGAGCAAAGAACCAAAGATCTGGCTATACCGTCTTCTTCCCCAGTACAGAAAGCTAAAGCAGCAGGGGTTCTCATAAGGAGAGGTTTGCTGCCGTTAATGCCCAGTCCCTTGTACCCATTAAGAATCTAGTCAACCTAGCACTTATTAAGTGACTACTATGTGCAAGGCACTGGGCTAAGGACTGGAATATAAAAAACCCCATCATTTCTTGCACAGCTGTTTATGAGCTGCCTCCACTAAAAATGAAAAGGCAGATGGAGAAAAGAGAGGGAGGGATTAAAAGAAAAGGGATTATTTTTTGATCAGCAACTTATCAATCATCTGCCTTAAGGAAATCCAATTTTCTATGGTTTATCCCTAAAGAAAGGAAGCAGAAAAACACAAAGAGGTCTAGTCTAGAACACACAGTAAACAGATACCCGGGGAGCAGCTAATCGGTCCTGTAAAGTTACCAAGGCAACGGCACCTGGCTGTGACCTCACAGTGGGAACAGGAGTAAAAGAGCACATGTCAGGCAAAACCAGCCCAACTCAAGTCTTCCTGCCTCAGGGAACAGGCCAGCATACTCAATCCTCAGTGGGCACTCTGCTAAGGCTTAGAAACAAATACTGCAGATGGTCTATGTTTTCCAGGCTTAAGAAGAGGACCCAGGACACTCTCAGCCACAACCAGTCAGTTGGAAAATAAACATTTATTAAGAGCCTACTATGTGCCAGGCACCGTGCTAAGAACTGGGGATTCAAAGAAACGCAAAATACAGTCTCTTCTCTTGAGGAGCTCCCAGTTTAATGGGAGAGACAACTGCTAAACAACTGTGTACAAACAAGATATATAAAGGATAAATTGGAAATCATCAATAGAGGAAAGACACTAGAATTCAGGGGGATTGGGAAAGGCTTTGTATGGACTTGTGGATTTTAGCTAAGACCTGAAGGAAGCCAGGAGGTAGAGATGAGGAGGGAGAATTCTAGGCATGGAGGACAGCCAGTAAAAATGCCTGGAGTCATGAGATGGATTGTCTTCTTTCAGGAAGAACAAGGAGGCCAGTATGAACTGGATCTCAGATTACATGTGGGCAGGTAAAATATGAGAGGAGTAGAAAGGAAGGGGAAGGTCTAGGTTATTAAGGACTCTGAATGCCAATTAGAGGATCTTACATTTAATCTAGAGGTGACATGGACCCACTGGAGTTAACTGTGTAGGGAAGTGACATGGTCACTTCAGGAAGATCATTTTGACAGTGGAGGGGAGGATGGACTGGAACGGTGAGGAGCGTGTGGCACGCAGACCAAGAAGCACAATAGGCTTACTGCAATAATCCAGCAGTGAGGTGATGAGGGCCTGCACCAGGGTGGTGGCAACATCAGACAAGAAGAGACACATGTGAGAGAGTGGGCATTATGTTGAGGCTTAGAAACAAATACTGCTGATGCCCTACTATGTTCCTGGGATTAAGAAAGGTCTCCAAGATCCTTTCAGAAGCAAGTAGGGAGAGGGAAGAATGCAGAGTCCTGTCAACAGGCATCCTCTGACAGGGAAGAAGGCAGAATCCAGCCTGAGCCAGAGGCAGAGGCCCCATGAAAATTTCCAACCAAACTGCAGGGGAAGCAGAAAGGCAGCCTAATCAAATTCTGCACTGGAGATTTGGCATAAGAAAACCTGAATCTTAGCTCAGCTCCTTGATAACTCTGAGGCCTCAGGCAAATCACCTCCTCTCCAAGGGACTGCTTCATCATTTATAAAATGTAGGGGTTGAACAAGAACCTCTCTGTGGTTTCTTCCAGCTCTAAACCCAGAAATTGTATGATTCTAATTCCTATAGCTGGGGAAAGTGAATATTCAAGGCCCCCTTTTCTTATTTCTTCTCTCTCCCCTCCCCCATTCTTCTCAAAACAGCAAAGGAAAGAAAGACTGAAAACACATTGCTTTGGAAATTCGACTAGAAACATTTCCACTTTGTTGATACACACGTTGCCTATAATTTCAGGTTTGATTGATTCTCCTTCTGGAAATGCCAAGTTGGAAGAACAGAATCAATCATATTTCAGTTGAATTCAGAGCAGAATGAATCATGTTTTACATTGAGAAGAATGAGGTACCTCCACAATGGGTAACATTCTCACGGGGCCCTTCTCAGTAGAAAATTCCCACGTGCTAAACCCGTATTGATTGGGTTATTCCAGGTAAATGGTAAAATATATATATATATATATATATATATATATATATATATATATGTTTACACATACATGCACACACAGCCATGGAATGGCAGCCCTGGAAGTAACCTTATAGAATATTTATTATAACTTTATAACTGAAGCCCAGAGAAAGGAAGTGACTTGTCAAAGGTCACATAAGGCTCAACAAACAGAATCACATCTCAAACTCAGATTGTCAGAGTCCAAATCCAATGCTTGTTCCACTATACCATGCTGCATCTTTAGCCTAGATTTAACACTGTTAAAGATAATTCCGGGCAGGGATTTTAATAAAACTGAATCCCTAAGTGGAAGTTTGATGGAATTGAAGAAACCCCAGACAACAGGAGTAGATTGAGGCAATAAGTTCCTTTCATTACCCTTAACATAGGTTAGAGGGGACTGGGTGGTATTGCAGAAGTGATGTAGTGCTTTCCTTTTTTCCATCTGTTTCCTAACAAAAATAAATACAAAAACAAAACCACCTTTTTGCCATTATATTCCTCTGGTGCTATCATGTAAACCAAAAGG